AATGCCGAGCTGTTCTGTTGGTTACTGAAAGGATGTGACCTTGAAATGGGCCTTGAAATGGAAAGTCCTTATTAAAAGAGCAATTGCAATTGCAACATTTGTTATCACTGCCCCAGAATCATGTGGGGATTAGTGTATGATGGAGCATTTCCACCAGATGTTGTGATGGGCTTACTGTTGAGTTGCTATTTTAATAAAGGAAGTGTCTGACCTCCTGTTGCACCTGCTGACTATTCACCTGACCACCCTACCTTTGTCCTGTTGAGGACAGGGGGCGCAGATTAAGTGAACTTTGGAAGAAGCTCTATGCAGCAGAAAGGAAGGACTGTCCAGTGGTGACAGCATTAGTCTGGAACACTGCAGACCTGCAAGGATACATTCATGAAGACAGTGAGGTTCTACCCTACTGCAGGCCCAAAAAGATACCCAAGACAGAGAGCCTGGATGCATACGTCAGCCAAATGCTTAGCCAATAGGAGCTCTGTTCTTTGGGAAATGGAATTTCAGGGGTGCACTGATAGAGATTTTTGGGGCCAATACTAATAGGTGATTTTTAAGGAGGTATATTGGCCAATACCGATCCAGTTTCTGATACCAGCCCGGTAGTTGGCACAGCAGTGTCCAGCTGGTAAGTCTGTTATGGTAGAAGGGGACGGGGAAGGGAAGACACGTGGTGGTGGGGGGCAGATTGAGGCCCCTGTGGTGAGGGACGGAGTGGGGTTGGAGCAGGGACTGGGGCAGGTGCTGCCTAGCTGGTGCAGGGCAGGGTGCGGGACAGAACTGCAAATGGCTTGCCTGGGGGATGTGTGCGGGGGGCAGCTCCCACTGTTACGCGCACCCTGGGAGGGCATGAGGGGGGTACCCCCCAGATCTGTGCAGGGTGGGGCACTGCTGTTGCAGGCGGGACTAGGGCCAGGGCTACACCGGGTTCTTCCTGGCAGGTCTGAGCCAGCTTGTACTCGGGACAGGTGGCATCAGCACTGGGAAGGGGCTGGGGGGGGCGCTGTAGCCACCCCAAAATTTGCTGTATTCCCCCCCCACCCCCAACCCCCTCTCCCAGTGCCGCTGCCCACTCCAAGTGCAGCCTGGCCCAGCCCCTGGCCGGAACGAGTTCCACGCAGTCCTGGCCCCAGCCTGTCCCACCCCATGCAGATCTGGGGGCACCCCCCCACCGTGCCCTCCTGGAGAAGCGGTGGAAGCTGCCAGATGAGAAACTCCCGGATGAGTGGCACACAGCAGTGGGAGCTGCTCCCTTCCTCCCCGTGTCCTCCAGACAAGCTGCAGCTCCATCCCTCACCCACCCCCCCCCGGCTCGGCAGCACCTGCCCCAGCCCCTGCCCCACTCCCCCCCTCACCACGGGGGC